ATGGATGGCTGGGAAACAGGTGGAGCTGGGGTGATCTGAGCCCAGATCGAAGCTAAAGGGGCACAGAAAGTCCCCCCAGCGACTGCTTTCCCCCTGTGTTAGACAGACCCCAGCTGGCGGGGGCTAGTGCCGGGTCAGGGGGGTGCATTCCCACCCCCTATCTCCCAGCCTCTTGGAGGTTGGGAAAGGGCAGGGTCCCAACCCAGATCTGGCCTGGGGGGAAGCAAAAAGCCCTCCAGTGGGGGCTTTCCCTGTGCTGCGCAGACCCCAGCTGGGCAGGGGGGCAATACTGGCCTGGTGGTGCACTTCCCCCACCCCCAAAGTCAGGGCTGGAAAAAGACTGGCTACTTAACACCCCCCCACACCTCATCAGCAGTAGAGGGTAGAGCCAGCAGACAATCAGACCTAGACTATCACTGAGCTGGACTCAGTAGCCTTAAGAGCACCCCGAGGCTCCTGGCATGGGCCAATGCAGGCTTCTGCTTGTCTTGCAACCTGAACACTGAACATCATTTCAGTTTGTTACCAGTTCAATCTACACAGCTTAGAAAAACCTGCAACAGTTGAATCAATTTTGCCTTGGGCTTTTTGAACCTCTATACTTAGCCAATGCGAGTGCCTCCTCTCACATGATTTAACTGTAAATGATTGTTTGTTTGTTTTTAAACAGGCACAAGTCTAATTATTGCACAGATAAAAATTTTGCTTGTACAAAATTGCCAGACATTCCCCATGTGAAACAGGACAGGAAGAACATTGAAGGAAGGCAGGGAGATTTTTAAAGTTAAAAGAATGGAAAGGGCGGGGGGGGATGTTTTCAATTGTTAATTGGAATGGGGCTTTGTAAGGTATTTCATGAAAATGTTTTACATTAGCTTATTTATGCAGTCACGGAAAACATTCCCCTTGCATTCAGCAAAAAAAATGAAAACCTGAATGTCAGAGTATTTACTTTGATGTACTCTTAATAAACAGCAGCTTGTTGGGAGTCTTTATGCAACATACAGCTTCTTCACTTCCATTTCAAATACAGGGAAAAATAAATTGAATTATGTAAACTGAGTTGGCTTATTCTGATACTTCATAAATAGGAAATGATAGAACACTGAACGCTGCAAAGCAAATAAAGGATTTAGTTTCACTGGCTGAAATTCAACTCGCACCTTCAATCAATATGCTAACTTTGTAAGGGGAGTTACAGTGAATGGGAAATAGTATAGATCCATCCTGCTCATAATGCATGCAGAGACCCCAATCAAGTTCTATGTAATGTATGTGCAGCCACTGGAACAACATAGCTAAAAACTCATTAGCCACACCACTCTACCTTCCCTACACGTCGAGCCACGCACCATAGCTGCCTTCCATCTGCACAGTAGAGCTAGAGGGTTCTGCTGTGCGGGGTGGTTTTCATAGTCCTCCTATGCATTGGTGACTTCCTCCCAATTTACACAGAAATTACAGGGTACAATCTTCCTTTTCATTCAGCATCTTCTAACCATTCTAAATAGCTGCAGTAGCAAATTAGTGAGTCTTTCAAGTTCCATGTGCTTTTTCTGGATAGAACTGCTAATCACTTGCACAGGAAAAAAATGTTCTAAAATCCAAACAAACATTTTGATGTCTATATGAAAAGAAAATCCTCTTTGTTCAGATGCCATTTTACTAAGACAGGAACAATATGACTAAGCAGCAGATGACTAAGTGGCAGAAAAAAAGCTTTGCTCTACATTTATCTTCAGAATAGTTGAGTCAAGAGAGTTGAAGTAAAAAAAAAACCAAGGGAAAAAAAGGAACAGAAAAAGGCACCTCGTACTTTGTCATAATTTACAGTGACAACCTCTATTTGCTGTTTGGTTTCCTAATCCTGCATGAGATGACCTCCTCAGTTGGGTCTGTCTATTTCTTTAAAAAAAACCAAAAATGAGCAGAACTAGTTGCAGGCACCAATGCATATTACCATTTTAATTCAGGCTGGTCCATTCTCTGAAGGCAAAATTCATCTGAAAGCATGCAATCTGCCTGTCAGGAGTTCTCTGAAATGTGCTTTGGCACAAGTAATTAAAGACCTGAAGAACTGGGATGTCTTTTACAGCTCTAAATAGAGAGATTAGGCAAATCCAAAAAAGCAGACCTGCCCAATTCAAACCAGGATGCTTTTGCTACTGATGTCTAATAAAGATGTGTGACCCTGTAAACAACATTTTCACCATCTCTTCTGCTCTTATGGTAGTTGTAAATGTTTTCTTGGGACTATAAAATGCATTGTATTAAGGATACACTGCTCAAACTCAGAGGACTGCTTCAGGGTAGAAGACACAAGTAACCACAGTCATCAACTATTATTTAAAAAAGCCCTAAAGAGAAAGAGAGGGAAAGAGCATTAAAAATGTACAGCTGATGAGTTAAAAATCAAGGAAGCTACTGCCAATAAAATTAAAAAGCACTATAGAAAAGCATACCTCACAGTAGATTACATTATCATTTTTTGTGAAGAGAGAGGCTCAGCTGAGAGAGGATTGTGGGAATGACAGACAAAGCTCAAGCCCTTTCAGGAAGCAGGAAGGAAGCTTTTGAAGTTTTTCTACCACTTAACCCTTGAGTTACAAATGCACCTAGAATTCTCACCTTCTGGTGTCCAAATTCATTTAAGATTGTGCCAAGCTTTTTTGTATTGCTGCGCAGTCTATGAGCAGCAATCACGGGGTTAGGATCTCTCCAGTCAATGGACAGGCGATGGTACCAGAGATGTTGTCCCTCCTGGATGTGCGCTGATTTGATACTAGGATCAAATCGATGCACCTCACATCCGCTGCTGGCCATGCTGATCTCGAACTGGTTATCATCACTTCCCAGTCTACAAAAAAAATAAGAAGTTATTAGTATAACTGTAAAAAAAAGTCTCACAGTTGTAAAATTCCAGTTGTTCCCTTGAGGAGTGGGAATACTTCTACTTACTGGCTTTTAAAGTAGAGCAGAGAAAATACTTTTTCAAATTGTAAACTCTTTGTACATATGTATGCACAGTACTTAGCAAATAGGGGCAGGAGTCTGACTAGATCGTTGGAAGTAAAAAAATAAATAAAACTACCACCCACTATCACTCTGGTTGGAGACTAGCAATCAATAACTGTGATTTAAGAAAGGAAGAAATATACAGATGTATTTATTATTCCCAACGGGACAGGCATAAGTGACTTTCAGAGTATTTTTAGAATTTTTTTTATAGAATTCCATAGAGTTTATTTATAGAAAATAAATATTTCAATGCGGGGGGGCAGGGATTAAGTTCACTGTAATGTACGAGTAACAGATTAACAAGGTGCATGTGAGGCCAGAAGCAAGCAATCTGTAACCATATGCCCTGAAACTTAACAATATTCCCAGAGAGCTGGCTTCCTAAAACCCACCTCATTTTTTCAATGAAGAATATGTTACTTCATTTCAGGAGTAATTCAAGACCGCAGTCCTGCCATCAACAAATATACTTGGGAGTATATACTTGGGAGTATAGATGTATTCCTCACTTTTTCACTCTGCCTCCTCCCACAACAAAATTATAATAGATTATTTTAGCTACCAATGCACATATTCCTATAGTCCACTCTGATAATCACAGTGTTACCAGAATGACAAATACATTTAAAATTAGGTTTGGCAGATTTTGATTCTTTTTAATTTTGATGGCTAAAATTGATGTTTATTTTTAACCATTTATTTTGATTTTTATCAATTTAAATTTTCAGGACTGTGCAAAATTAGGGGCAATGGGGGCAGCCAATTTAGTAATGACAGTATACTGTTAAAAGCTTTATAAAAGCACATGTCAAAATATAAAAAGTAAATATCTATAAATTAATAAAGCATGCCGGTTTTAAAATATTCTGTTCATTTGATAGTACATCCATACCAGCCTGGACCCTTTGCCTTCATGGAAGTGAGTGCAGGGGAAAGGGCTGGGATAGGGGCTGCAGGCAGGGACTGCAGAGGCAGTTGCTGTGGGAGGAGACTCATCAGGGAACTCCTAGCTGTCAAATGCAGCTGAATTCCCAAAGTCCCATGCTGCACTGTGGCAGGGCACTGTTGGTGCCTGCCACTTTAAGGGCTGAGTCAAGCAACCAGCAAGTGCCTGATTGCGGCAGCCATTTTAGAACACTGGCTGCCTATATAAACACAGGAGTTTGAGCTACATAGAACATCTAGCAGGTAGGAACTGGAGGCTCTTGGTCCTGGGCATGACCTAAAACTGCACCATGCTGGGGAAGGGTGGCCTAGTGGGGGGCTCCTGGTTGTGTGGGAGTCCCCAGGAAGTGCCAGGCCAGTTACCTTCCCCAGTGAGAGGTGAGGAGGGGTGCCTTAACCCCCACTCCCATTTTTGGGTGGACTTTGAAGACAGTTGTGGGAGTAGTGGGGCCAGGCATGACAAGCAGAGTGCTACCTGAGCCCAGCAGGGATGTAAGATCCTGGAGACCCCAGAGGGGGTAGTGTGCAGCCCCACACAGAGTAGGCTGAATGGGAGGAGGCCTGAAGGGCTGTGCGTGAGGGGGGCTAAGTAGGGCTAAACAAGGAGTAGACCTGAAGGCAGTCTGGGGGTTATGTTGAGTAGGGCTGAACTAGGAGTAAGCCTGAAGGGCAGCACAAGAGCCAGCCCCATGAATAGTTGATCACAAAGATGAGAAGACCCCAGGGTGGGGTGTGGTATAGAGGGGGCGTAGTAGGAAACCCACATGTAGGGCAGAGGCCAAGGCATAGCTGTGCATGCCTAGGGCTGTAGTTTGGGCCAGAGGCTGAGTAGGGGGCTCAGCCAGAGTGAGGGGTGAGTCCTGACCCCAGTAAGTCCTCTGCTGCAAGGAGGCTGAGGTGTGAGATGAAAGTAAAACCGGTATTTGAGCACAATGACCTGCTGCTCCAGCAGTCCTGGTGAGATCTGGGAGCACCAGTCATGGTGCGGGGTATGATTACAACATGTGGATGCCATCTGTGAGGCATGGGCTGTGATAGCGCCCCCTGGCATTGGGGCAGTTTCCCACATTTACCATCCCTTTATGGAAACAGCAAAGTCATGGCAGATGAGACAGGGCGCACTGCCCCGTAGAGACAAGTGGGCGGGGCCAGTATGAGACCAGGCTCTGAGCATGCCCCCTATCGCACACTGGGAGGCAGTAGCTTCCCAGCCCAGGGCAGCAAGCAGTCCCCTGCTCCCCACAGCCCCTTAGGAGGTGAGACCCACCTGGTGGGCACCAACAGAGGGGCCACCTGGCCTCTTGATAGCCATAGCCTCCCACCCTTCTGGGCAATGAAGAGTCAGTGGCTGGGCCCCAGGGGCACCCCCACACACCCTGCCCTGAGCAGGAAGGGGCTGCATGGGTGTGGGCAGGAATCTGGTACTCAGTTCCTGGCTGGAACCTGGGCAGAGTGAGTGGCTGATGACACCAGGCTCCCAGCTGCCAACAGCCCTGCCCCTGTTGTGGGGTGGGACTCCACAACAACATCCCACTCTTTTTTTTTTCTTGCAAATACTTTCTATACATTCAAGTTATCACCGATGAAAATATTTTTCTGTAAGCGTGAGGTGAAATCGAAGTTTTATTGCCATTTAGCAATAAAATTGGATCTTGCCAAGCCTATTTAAAATGCATACATAACAGCCTTTTAAAAGCCAGGCATACTTCCTACTGCCTTGAGTGTCTATTCCTTTAATTAATCTTTTATAGTGCTAGAGACACTAACCTCTATGCCCATTAGCAAGGATAGGACTCAAGGATCTTCACCCCCAAAAAACTAAGCCATCCCCATAGTGCTGGAGCTGCAGATCTTTCTTTCTGTGGGTCACTCACTAGAAGGCAATACGCACACACATTTAGAACCAGACTATTGCTAGCGCTGCACAGACACTTAAAAAGAAGGATGTATCCCCATCACACAGAAAATTCCTATTTTCTCTGTCCTAGCTTAGATGCATTGTGGTGATTTGAGGGCATGAGTAGTAGCCACAGCAGCCTGTGGCTGGGCTGCCTTGGTGTTGGGGGGGTGGGGAGGAGTGGTGTGTGGCCAGAATTGGGGGGGGGGACCCTACCCCAGCACCTCCCACCCTGCCCAGGGTCAGCGCTGGGAGCCCTGCACCCATGGGCAGCAGCTCCAGCCCCTCAGGCCTGTGAGTGACTGGGTGCAGCGTCCGCCACAGGGAGTGGGGTTGGGCTCTCCTGCCTGCCCAGCCTGGTGTGGCTCGCAGTACCCAGGGAGCTGCCAGGGTGCAGGGTGGGCAGGTCTCATCTGCCTTAGCCAGAGCTGCCAGGGTGCAGCTGAGACCTGCCCACCCCAGGAGCAGCCCTTCCCACCCTGCCTGGGGTCAGAGCTGGGAGCCCTGTATAGCTGCCACCACAGCCCCCCC